ATTGAGCGTTCTAGCTGTGATTGTTACATGATGGTAGGCCCATTTTCAGATGACTGCGAACAGAATTTTCTGATGTTGATACAGTGTTTGTAAAAGGTCTGTGCAAGTGAACTCAAGTTTTATTAGGATAGTATAAGCTAAACTGGAATTAAAAGCATTCTGACTTCTACTTCTTTTCTTACTGTAGATACTAGGAAATGATATGCCTGCAAATCCATCTACAGAGATAAGCAGCAAGAATGAACCGGAGAAGAAGAAAAAGAAGCTACAAAAATAGCTGGATATAAAATTTAACAGGAAGTCACACATGAATTATTTGTATTTACGTATTTTTCCCTATGGGCAAAATGCTAGAAACAGATTTTATTTACTTTTAAATACACATTTTAATACTTCGTAAAACTGGCTTTTTTTATAAAAACTTTTTATGAATATATGTATGCAGGAGAACAATAGTTTTAAAACCAAGCATGTCTAGAGTTTTGTCTTGTGGGTGAAAATAAATGCTTCTGCAAGGTGAAGGAATAATTGTAGAATTTTTTTTTCTTATGCCTTACAGCTGTTAAGAGTCAGTCTCTTCAGCCTTCAATGTAGTCTCTTTAGCACCAAAAGAAGTAATGGTGTTAGTTACTGGTCTTAAGTGCTAACAGAATTTACTTTTGAAAGATAAATTGCACAGACTTACACTTCCTTCTGGGAAAGTTCTCTCTGACACCAGATTAGCTGTGTGCATGTATGCACACGATATGCAGACGGAGAGAGGAAACCATACCATAAAAGTGCATTAGTCTTTGTCCTAGACCTTAAAGCAATTGAAAATCATTGGTTAGCCTCCGATGAACTGCCTTAAAAAAGGCTAGAAACCATCAATTATATTTGTGTTACACAAAAATCCACAAGTTTTGCAATGATCGTTCTGGCTTGTGCTGCCAAGATGCTGGTGAGTTAGAATTCTCAAAAAAAAACCAAACCCAAACATTTTATGCCTTGGAACTGCATTGTTACAGTCAAGCTGCACCACCTGGCTGCGTAGTCATAAAGCCTATTTTGTGCGCTCCTAGCCTCAGTGCTGAACGCCCACCACAGGCACTAGGGAGACCAAGCTTGCTTTGAGGGGGGAAGCTATTGAATTCTGCAAGTTCATTTCAGTAAAACTACCCTCCAGAGTGCCCGGGATTGCAGTAGTTATCATAGACCGGTTCTGCTGATGCCAGCTCCGAGCTCCCAAAGCCAAGACACCGCAGTCCCACATACTACGGGCATTCCTCAGAGATCTTTGAGGAGTTACAGCTCACAAATTTCTGTACTCGCCCCTTACTCCTCAGTGGTTTCCTTGGGTAATCAATGGGTCACATTTAATCAATACCTGGTTGTCACTTGGCCATTTTTACTCAGCTCCCTGTATGCTGTCATTGTAAAGGATTGGATCAGATTTATAAAGTACATGTTTATAAAAGGCATCACAGGAGACAATTAACATGTTTAACTGATTGCAATAGAAAAAAACACACCCCATACATGAGTCATTCTAATCCTGTCACCACTATTCTACAAAGCCTTATTCAGAAACTTTAAAAATAAAACTTAGTTTCAGGAAAGATGTGCAGAGCACTGGATCTATAACTGGTACTGCACGTTTAGTTCAGCACCATATATTAGAGTAACTGAAACCATTTTTTAACTGTAGGAGAGCAAAGGCTTGCCCCGCTCCCTCTGCTCCCCGCTGCCCTCACCCAGCCAACACGCCCATACACCTGTTACAGGCAGCACTCAAATGAAAGGTGCTGCAAATGGTAGCGAAGAAAATAATACAAACAATCTAGGTCTGAAAAAGATGGCTTTATTCTGTTTCACTACTCAATTTACAATTACCCATGTTAAAGGACTCTCGTTAAAAACTACGGAAATTAATTTAATGTAAACAATGACCGTTTTGTGCAACGTGTGCCAACCAATGCATTAAGTACAACCAGAGAAACAGAATGGTCAAATGATTTCCACAATAATTTGCACAATAGGTTTCTTCTACAAAACAATTATACAAACATAATAAAAAAATATGCATGTTTTCATAAAATAAATAATTCCCATCTAATTGAAGACTATAAAACAGAAGACACCAGCAATTTATTTGGGGGATCCTTAATTACTTCTCACATTCACCCATTTCTGCTGTTACTTTCCCCTTACCTTTAAGAAAACACTTATACAGAGTGCAATTAAATATTTTAGTGATTGCTTTTCTTATTTGTGAATATTCTGAAAGCCTCTGATCATTGAACATATAATTATAAAGAATCAAAAATTTTAATTAAAAATGAAACCCAAATCTTAATTATATATATCATGCCAAACGGTTCAGAAACAGATCGTAATTTGGTCTACTCTGCTTCTCATCTTCCCCTTTAACATTACTCCTATTCTTAGTAATCACACTTGCAAAAATAAATCCTTTGTACAGTCCAGAAATCTGAAATTCACCTTTTCAATTGATTCTTGTTAGAGAATTATGAGAAACAGAAAAGACACAAGGTCATAAATAACTCTTACATCTCAGACAAGTAACGTCTTGTTTTCGAGCTACAAACCTTACAAACTAAAGCTAAGAACGCTTTGAACGCCCTATTCAATAAATTCGCTTTCCAGAAGTCTAAGTTCATTCTCTACTTCAACAAAATTCATCCCCTAAAAGTTATCAGTTCAGTGTATTTCCAGCTTTTAGCAGGGCACTGTTTCAAGATCATGAAATAGATAATTCAGGATGTTAGGTTCAATAACTGTCAATCAGATATGCATAACAGAAATACTGATTAAATTGCTATGGAAGTAAAAAATAATGCATGTCATGTTTGCTGGTTAGAAATCTAAAGTCATTTTTTTCATTACTATTTTTGCAATGTGAGAACTAAAACCAAATGATGCTTTCTTGATGGTATAGAAGTTTCCCTATTTCGTTAAGTGTATTTTTCAGAAAGCCTTCACTGGTGCGTTATTAATGAAAATATTTCAAGAACTGTTCTATCCATACAATGCTTGTGCACAAGTCTCAGGTCTAACACATTGCTTTTTAATGCTATGCAATTCCGTTCATACCTCCCCTTCTGAGATTTTTAAAAAAATGTTGTCAGTTGCGTTCAAATTTAGGTCTGACCAACTGTTTCAGGCTTCATGTGCCAACAGCTACTCATCAGCCATGGTCTATCAGTTTGATACAAGCTTTTCTGCGGGCTGTGGAATAGAATAGGAAGCAGAACCTCCATCCAGTATCCCAGGGTGGGATATCCTTGCCACGAAAAGAGAGAAAGACTGCTTCACCTGGAGCACAGACTAGAACAGACTTCTGATTAATCCAACAAAGTTTGCTTTGGAGCTCTACAAACACCGAGCCCTGAAATCTCAGTATTTCCCCTCTCTCTTCTTCCCCTCTTAGTCACTCTGGCTAGAAGATTACCATACGTTTTTTTAACGCATTCACGTTTATCAATTCCAGAAGATCCTTTTAAACAAATCCAAACAAATTTAACCACATCTGATTTGATTAGGCAAAAGGAGTTCCGGGCTTCCAGACCCTCCTCATTCCATTACTTTTGTTCATCTGTGGTTTTCTTGAAAGTATCAAGAGTTTGTTTGTGTTAGTACTTTTTGCAATAAGTGGCATGCAAAAATTAGTTACATTTCTAAATGCTTAGCTAAATATTTTGGTAATTTCTGTAAGCAGACATAATAGTATTGGGAATTAAATATAAGAGGGAAGTAAAAGTGTAATGGTTTACTCCTTTAATAGAAGGAAGGCTGCACCGTTCTCTTAATGATGTACTGAGACCAATTAAGCTTATTGCACCTTCTCACATTCCTTCAAAAGGGTACTGGAGCATCAATTTGGACACAAGGGTTCTTAGCAGACACTGGTGGAGACTGGTGATCAAGATTAATACGAGTACAACTAAAGTAACAACACCATCATTTAAGTAAGATGTACTGTTGGTAAAGCAAACTGACAGATACGCAGTTTGAAGAGCAAGAACTGCTTTTTTAGGGGAAGAGATTCTATTTTCCTATTAAGAGATTGCTGTCACCTGTCCTTTTCCTTGATTTCTGTCAAACCAAGGAAAAAACTGCTCCAAGAACTGCTAAAAGGCTTCTTCTGATGTACACCTTATTTTATTACTACAAGAATTAAAACTTTAACTGTGGAAAAGTACATAATTTCCATAATTGGAATAGAGTTTTCATGCAGCTGTTCACATGGAAAACTTAAATAAAAGGACTACCCTGGTGTTAAAATCAAAGCACCCATTTTTAACAGTCTGCAGTCTACTATAAAACATACACATACTCCAGGGACCCATTTCTGGAACACCAGTTTTATTCTTTCCTCCTGAAAGTCACGGCTGAGTTTCATCCCTGTTACTTTAGACTGATGCTGGCAGACACTCACCCCCTCCTGTTAGCCCAGCCCTGCTCTCATCACACCCCCAGCACTTCATTCCTGTCCAGGGACTCTTTCTCGGTACCAGCGCTAGCGTTCCTGAAGCCACATAATAAATCTGATCGAGGGAAAAGCAATCCAAATCAAAACTAATACTCCTTTCCTTTTTCTCTCCGCCCAAGAAAAATTTCCCTTATGCCTTTAGGAGTTGTGTCTTAAAATGTAGGTGTTTTTGCAGTTACATTGGCTCCTATGCAAGTTACCCTAGGTTTGCTCAGTCTATCTAAAATATTCCTATTTAAGCTGAAACGATGTCCAAACTTCCAAAACAAGGCTCCTCATGGAATTGACCCTCATCACAGAAGGAACACAATTCTGAAAAAACACTCTGGTTTCTTTGTACCAAGTCTAGCCACCTTAATTTTCAAAAGGATCACTTAATGATGCCAATAAATTTGTTAATAAGACCTGAAAAACCCCACATTATTTAAAAACTCCCTTAATATATACCAATTTATTATATTTGCACTAAAAAAACAAAACAGTATGTATAATCCAGGTAATTGAGGTCATATACATAAAAATTTATTAGACAACACAATTTAAATCATCCATCAGAAAACTACATACCATTTTTGTGAAATCCCTGAACTTGATTTTCATTTTTATGTTTCCAGGCAGAAATGTTGCAAGTTGCATTTTGACCAAATACTGTACTATGTGTTTTTGCTTTTTGGAAACAGGATTGCTTCTCTGGAGATTTTGCTCTCAGCAACTGATTGTCCTTATGGTTTAAAACGGAACACTCCTAGGTTAATAAGGAAAAGTTAATTTTAAAACCATTTTTCACAAAAATTCCCCAAAAGAAACAAGATCAAAACTTACTATCTGAAAATTTCAAGTTACAATTAGTACCTTAGCCTCCCATCTTTCCCCTTCTGAAATAAAAGAGAAGTGAAAGATCATGTTTTCTCTGCACGGATTTTTGAGACACTCTGCCAGCAAGAACCTTCTTTCAGAGCGCTCATGCTCTGAATGAGCCAGACTGGATTCCTTCAGCCAGCAATGGCCACGCTTTTTTCTTTTCATTCTCTGTGGGTTGTCTGTTATGAGAGTTGAATGAAGTACTTATTAAGCCTCCACACTTAAATCCTAATCCAAAAATGCAAAGTTGGGCTTAGTCAGGATGTAGCAACTGAAAGACGCATCGGGGAAGACAGCTGCGTGACATTGGCGAGTCTCTAGGACAGGTTTGATGTTAGACAATTCTGATGAATACATTCACGTGTATAATCCTACAGGGTGACTGGGGCAAGACCTCAGAGATGGGTATTTTTAGAAGTTAAAGATAAAATATCCATCTCTTCTTCCTGTAAGGGCCCAGTTATCCTAATCTTAAATGAGCAGAGCTCAATATTTGATGTCAATGGTCTATAAGGCACCATCAATCCGCTCTGTACCTTGGCAGAGAAGTGGCCATTAGCATGTCAGACAGAAGTGAAGTCAGGGCTGAATGGGCTTAACCTGAGTCTTTTTACAATCTGGTACTGCTGGTCAGTACTGTCTCCCCTTCAACGACCGTAAACAATGCCAAGTAGTAGACCATAAACTATTAAGTTTATAAGACCGTAAGACCATAACTACTAACTGAGAGGAGATTATCTTTGTTTGTTCTCTCCTCCAAAGAAACTAGCCTTGCTTCCCATTCTCTGGAAGAAGTAGAACTCCTTCCCATCGGTCACAAGATAAAGAGCTTGGGAGCCTTGCTAAATACGTATTGTCTTTTGTAGTTTGTTTTGGTTTTGAGATAGGTCATCAAAGGGCTTATAATCAAAAGACTGTACCTAACCAGAAAGTTCCCCACCAAGTCAGCATGCCAGGTATGGCCTAGGAAACTTGAGGCTAGTTTACAAAAAGCAGCAGTGGACATTTTTTCCCCAAAAATGAGCTTCTCCACAGGCACACATTTAAAAACTTCACAATTAAAAAAAAAAAAGGAGCAAGACCAACAGAAACAAAAATAAGAGACAGGCTACAATACATCAGAAGCCATGAGCAGCCTCACAACTACCTTTTATGCACATGCTTCGATTTCCTCTGTAACTACCTTTGCCTTTGTCATAGAACACATTAATTTTATTGCCACCTTACAACATTTGTCCTGCATTTATTCCTTGTTTTCAATGTAATACTCGAAACGATGCTACATGCTCTCTGTTATCACCTGACAGTCTCTCCCCTCACTCAGGCTCCCTGCAACTGAATAAAATAGGGAATGGATGCTTTAGATGGGAAGCCTATCACTTTTGTATCACAATTTAACTCCTACCTTTGTTCTAAGAAGCTGAGATTTATTCTGAAACACATTAGTATTCACATCATTTTCTCTGCAACTGTTTTCAGCCCCTGCAGTATCCATAATGCTGCTTCCACAAGTCTGTGTATTATAACCACTGTCCACCTGAAATCAAGAAGCAGGGCTTTAAAAAATGTACTGCACTTTAAAAAATGTACTGATTTTTTATCACCAATAAACCCCTCAGATCCTCAATACCTGATACGACTTGCATTTAACAGAACTTAATCCAACAAACCAACTACCATCAGTTAATAACAAAAGCAAATTATAAAGGGGTCTGTCAGAATTAGTTTGGATTAAGTTAAACATGTTACTGTAAATAGTAACAAAAATCATTTATAATTGCTATGCTGACTCCACTGAGAGAGGAAAAAGGGGGTGAGGGGGAAGAAATAAAAGCCACAACACCACCTGCATGCCACATCCAGTAAGAGAAAGCAGAGAATTACTTCCAGAATGGTATACATACTAGAAGTTAGTATGTCGAGCTCAGTTTTACAGAGAAGCAAAGAAAGATTTTTATTTTTACCTGAATACTACTGTTGTCGCAAGGAATTGCACTGCTTTCTGCAAGAGGTGACATGCACATGCGAGAGTTTTCAATACTGAAAGTAATCCCTGTCATAAAGCTGGTCATTGGCGCATTGCTATTGCCAATTGTTTCTTTTATCCAAGTGTTCTCCTCCGACACTTCAGCTGCATCAGCCATATCTACAGTATTGTTTTCCTTTGAGCCTTCTACATCCTGAAATGACGACAACCTTTGATGACAAGCTTCCGAGCGATCTGGTGCAATAGACACAGTTGCTACCACGAGATGTGTACCATGTGCAAAAGTATCACCATCTTGCTGACATAAGTTTATTCCATTATCCATTTCTGGGAACCGAGCTTCTGCTGGAGAAACATTTTCCTTGTCTTCCTCATCCTCACGATGATTTTCGACTGCAATTGGTATTCTAATGACAGAAGTCTGATACTGGGCAGTCCCTCTACATGCTCCAAGCCTCATAGGAGAACAATTTTTAATTGGAGAACAACCATCTATGTAAGGACTTCTTGTACTTGGGGGTGTCATTCTATTTGAGGAAGAAGGAATATCTGGAGAACGAAATGTAAATTTTCTTTGGTCTGTCCACAGAAGAAAGAAAAAAAAAAAAGAAAAAAGTTATTCTATTAGATATCAGATGGAGTTAACATCATCATCCTCAAAACCTTACAGTCCTTCGAATAATTACAGCCAACTGCATAGTATTTCACTGAGTACTGCCTCCCAGCTCCAAGGGGGAGTTTAAACTGCATTTAAACTACCATGGCACAGGCAAGTTTTTATCCCTTTTTTACCACCAAATTTGTTTCCTATGACATAGGTTGTTGTACCAAAGGCCTTGCATTTTCAAATGGCAATACCACACACTGTTGAGAGGAAAAATGCGTGAAGTCTGGTTCTGTGGCTTTCTTCTGAAGAAAATATAATTGCACATATTCTATAGGCATTTAAAAAAATCTGGGCTAGCAATAAAATTTTTAAGAAAATCAAACCTATGCAATCGCCATCTATAATGATGTGTTGAAACACCACAAGGCTCATCAGAGCAAAGTCATGTATAGACATGGCGCTAAGTCTTTCCAGGCAATGAATGAAACATAAAATACTAACATTTTCTAGAGCAGCGAGGACACAAAGCGTTTGTTATTTCTTCACTAGTCAGTTTCATTTCAAATAATGTTGATGATCACATGATTTGAAAACTCAAGCTAAACATTCTTTGTCTAATTAAAATGCTTCAGGTTGGGCCAAATCAGAATTGTGACCTGACTCAGTTCAGGCTTTAAAGCCCCTCCTCACACTAGATTAATCCTTTAAATTTTTTTCTTTCCTATTAGGTCTCAGTTCCTTCTTCTAAAACACTTTCCCTAGGTGATTTTTCACAAGCAGATACACTTCACTGTCTCACATCATTAAGATATTTCACTGCTAAACAGTAAGTATGTCATATAGGAGGAGACTGCTGGTCTGCCAAGCACAGTAACTTGTCTCCAAACAGAAAAAAGTTCCAGTAAGAATGCAGCAGTTTTTATAATCAAAATATGTAAAGTCAAGAAAGAATAACGTATATACAATTAAACCATACCTGACAGTGGCGTCTTTCTTATGTGAAAAGCAATTGGTGAAAAAGTAGGAGAACCATTATGTGCAGGAGACCCCTCTGGAAATGTGGGACTGGTTATACTTCCAAGACTATAAGCCCTTGTTCCTCCCTGAATAGGACTTGAGGAAAACTGACCCTTCAGTTAAAAAAAAAAAAAAAAAAAAAAAAAAATTTTTTAAAAATAA